GCTTCAGAGGCTTCTGATGCATGGGAAGGAACTGTACAATACACAAAAGCCACAGCCAGCCACAGAGAAGGCCTAAAGGGGCAAATCTCTGAAAATGATCAAACTCCAGAAATTGTCAGACATTGTTGATCTGCTGAGTTGGGAACTTGTCTGAATTATATACAGAGCAGGATTAAAGCTAGAGGGCTGAAAGTAGGGCCAAAAGGAAGGGCTGAAGGAGAATAAAGGAAAATTATAGCGAGGCAGAGAGGTGAAAGGTGGAGAGAGATAGGTCCTCTGACAAGGCCATAACATAAATATGTTGATTTGAAGGTTTGAACATAACAACCATGCTGAAGTCTAGACTCAGTACAATGTGATCAGGCTTATCTGATGCAACATTTTTATATGTGCATTTTTAAGCTATCTAGCACAATAACCAAGTGAGGCCTAGAATTTGATTTCCTTGTGTTCAGATCCCAGTCTACACCTGACATGCATCTCTGTTGTCTGATGAGCTCCTGAATCCAGTGACTACAAAACAAGACAAAGTACCAGCTTGCATGCCACTGGCAATGCAGTATAGACATGAGTGTACATACTTGACTCAAACTTGAAAATTTTGAGTTTCATTTCCAAGTGCATAGAAAGATGAATAGTAACTGCGATGGCTGATGTGAATAAATAACTAGCTGAAGACATGGCAGAGGCTCCTGAGTCTTGAGCATCACATCATCATTTGTCATTTGTTACTGTTGATTTTCTGAGGCATCTGGATGGGCTTTCAAATGAGGAAAAGTCACAAACCAAGCACCACTAAACAGCAGATCAACAATGAGGTGGACAGACATGTGACTGTGGGCATTGAGAGGGCCAAATGAGGATAATGAGTACTACATGACTAGCCACAGTGACTGATGGAACATGATGATACATACAGATTCATAAAGCAAAATGTGAAATCACATCAAGGTGATAATATCCAAGTTTGATAAGAGTCATGCAATGATTCAATCATCTACAAGACTCATTGTTAGAGATGGAAGGAGGAAAGAAAAAATAGAGTGAGCGGGGAAAACAACTTTACCCAATCACTCTTTGCCTGGGAGTCGAACCCAGCTTTCGCGCGGACATCATTGAAACACAAATTCATGGTATGACAGGCGCGTGTACTAACCGATATACTAGCAAAGACTGTACAAGAGAAGAACGAGTGCGATGTTATTGAGACTGCCGGTCTCGCCCGCCAACTATGCCACCCTATTAAAGAAAGGGAAGTTGACCTCGGATAAGGGTTGGCCACACGGTTGTCACGGGTGGCCATGGCCTAATAACGAAAAAGGAGAGTGTCTGTGGCCGAGTTAGGATTCCTTGTCCCCATTTACCAACTGGTTATGGCCCAAAGGCAAGGCCTGAGGCGTGTTCAAGGAAATTCCCGAAAATGACCCTGACGCACATTGTTCCCCGCGGAACACGAGGGCAGTGGCTGGCTCTTGACAATGGGACAAACACGGACACGTGAGGATATACGGTCGCGCTTTGACGCGGGTTTAAAAAGTTTGGCAGGGAAATGCTCATATCTCCGCTCCCCCGATACACCCACTGCTATTCTAGACATACTCCTACATCAAAAGCGTCTCTACAACAGTATTCGCGGCCACTCACTTGACCTCGACCAACGAGCGCTTGTTCTCATACACGACATATACCCCACTCAACCGAACCATATACCAAGAGATCCACTTATACAATGCCGAACGAAATTAAACGACCTTTGAAAGGTCAATTTTCTGAGGCAATGATCGGTTTGATGTCTAAAGGAACCTTGGTGAGTGCATTGTCACATTGACTTGAGGATGGGTGCTTACTGTAATCATATTCATCAAGTACGATTATAACCAAAGCGACCCCGAGCCTGCTTATGACCGCTCCACTCTTTACCAGGTCCATCCTCCTATGTCGAGTCAGCAGCTCATTAACGACCTAGCCGAACTGAGGGAGAATGCCACCATCATCAGTCGTAACCCCGCTGAAGAAGCCCGGTCCAGAATAATGCGCCCCTTCTTCGAGCCTGGGGCTTCCCTCCCCTGGCCTCCCATCTATCCTCCTGCTCCACTCAAATACGACTTCTATGCTGATCACTATAGCGAAGAATCGAGTTCCCCCTCGTTGTCTTCCACCTCTGAGCTGTCCGACCTCGTGAACTGGAATGCACACGCCTCGGTTGCTGGGTCCTCGGTATTCTTGCGCAGCCCTACGCATCCTCAGAGTTGTCCTGGTTCATCTGCTCACCACTCGCCGGCATTCCAGCCAAAAGCTCCCTCCCCTTCCCCCAGAATCCTTCCCCACATCATTGGCGAGGACGACCCCTTCAATCCGTTCTCATACGACCTCTTCTTCGAGGATAAAAATGTGCGGAGCATCGACACGCCCGAGGGGAGGATCTTCGCACCTGTTCCGAAGCTTCCTACTGCTGCGGCGCTCGCCAACTTCGAGATCATAGCCCTTGCGGCAATGGTGCCTGCAGTTGAAGAGGTGGTCGAGAAAGAGCCCTTCACGAACAAGGATTGCTATGGTATGTTCCCCAATGAGAAGAACTCAGGTTCGATGTCCTCCCGCAAAGAAGCAGCACCGCCTTCAAAGGAGAACTTCTCGGCTTCGCTGGCTCCTATCCAGCAGTCGAATGTCGAACATGGCGATGTTTTATACGAGACGGGTCCTAAGCCTCAAGTTAAACTGGTGCGCGAGATGATGGCTCTTCTGTCTCTCGAGCCTGGTCCTCTCGAGGATGAGAAGATGAAGCAGCTTTGGGGCTCGAATGGTCAAGACGCATCGGGAAGTTCCTCTGGAAAGCCTGCATCCGAAATGACGGGGAACGAGGTATACGAGGGATTGGTTCCGGTGGCACCCCAGCCGCCGAAGTTTTATCCTACAAACAGGCAACATCTTTCCCTCCTTCGCATCCTCTCCAAGGACTATTGATCACAGCGTTTCTCATGAAGGGGTGCAGGGGGACTCTCGAAATTTTTTCCTCGTCTTTTGTACTTCTATCTCGAGTTCGGTCTATCTTTTCGGTTAACGTTCGATAGTTCCCGAAACACGATGAGAGTGCTCACTGTAAAAAAGACGAGTAAAATCGTGATCAAGATAGCAGGAGCCTGTTTGATAGAGGGGAAGTCACAGGAAGAAGCTATTCGTCTCTACGAGATTGCAGTAATTACTTTCATGGAGCTTGAAAGTCGAGCGTCTTGTAGTGCAACTCAATGCCTTCTCCAAGCCTCTAGAATAACCGTGACATGATCCCTGAATCATCAGTGCATTGGTATGCTATCGGTGCATT